GGAAATCTTAAGAACCGAACGAAGTTTGAATCTTTGTTTCAAACCACTTTATATGTTGGATCAATCTGATTTGAAAGTTTGTTACCTCAATGCAAGATCTCTGCATAAACACATTGAAGATGTTCGAAAAGACATTAATTACTCGTCTATGGATATTGTGATATTTACTGAAACAAGGTTTAACTCCTCAGACACTGACAATATATACACCATTGATGGCTACAGGTTGTTCAGAAATGATGTTTCCCAAGGTACGGGTCCAGGACGTCCATACGGTGGAACAGCTGTTTATAGTCGAGTCCCTTTAAAAGAAGGATACCCTTATACTCACAACGTCAATGAAATCGAGTTTACAATTATTAAAACAGAAAGTAATCCGCATCTAAGTATAATTGGAGTATATCGCTCACCCAGTATTGCTATATCACGTCTACTGTCTTCACTACGTAGCGTACTTGATGAAGATTCTTCTGCACAAAACATTATAATTGGAGATTTCAATGTCAACTGGATGGTAGAATCTGATCGACAGTCACTCTACAATTTGATGGTTGTACAAAATCATTACAGGCAACTGATAACAGGCTTTACAACCGACAACAGAACGTTAATTGATCATTTATACACAAATTTAATTGAAGAGGAAATTGAAGCTGGTATTCTAGAAACTTACTTTAGTGATCATAAAGCAATATGGGCCTCCGTTAGGACATAGGAATAATAATTATATACCGTTCAATTAAGGTATCGCAAAGATAGCAAGCCATTGTGCCACTGCGAATGTTATTAAGGCAAGCCATTGCGCCACTCCCAGTGTTATTAAGACAAGCCGCAGTCCACTGCCAATGTTATTAAGACAAGCCGCTGTGCCACTCCCAATGTTATAAAAATAAGTCCTTGTGTGGACGTTGGCTACATTTAGGTAAGTTTTCTTTTTCTCTTTTCCCCTCTCTCTTTTCCCCTCTCTCGTTTCCCCTCTCTCTTTCCTGTATTTATGTGTTTAATTGTTTTTTTTCTTTTTTAGATATCTTTATACATTAACATGGTCACATTAACGATAACTTCATTTAACAAAAGTACTCAAAATAGAACAATTTTGGTATGTTGCTACGTCTTATTAACATCTAGTCATGTCGCGGCAAAAGCTCGGACTGTATGGCTTATGAAATCCATGTTACATTATACATAATTGCATCCACTAATACCGTTGCATTAATATTTACAGATATCAAAAGTATACAATAATATGCCTTTCATTTGCTGGCTGACAACATTGGTGGATAATTATATTGAATGATGTATCATCTTATGTCAATGAATATTCCAAAATGAAACAATTCAATTCAGCTACCAAAGTTAAAACGTCTACAGTTGCGTCGTTATGTATTCTGAAAATTCAATGTGGAAGACTTGAAAATTAAGAAAGATGCACAGTACTTGAAGATACGACTCGTTGGATATTTGTTGTACGGTACATTTCACCTGGCTCTGACACCAAAACATTTTAAAGCGAAAAGCTACTCAACGAAGTCGCACGTACAGTACAAAGTCTCAAAGGAAAGTTAACGCGGCAAGGAAGACTTGGTAATTAAGAAAGATGCACAGTACTTGAACAAATACTTTGTTGTACGGTACATTGCACCTGTTCGAATACTCATAATCGAGGCAACAACGTGCGTGAGTACCTGTTATATAAACAATGGACTTGATATGCATCATAATCAACATCTTCAAACTTACACTGGGTAGAACATGTACTGTAATACGCAATAACACGTGTTCTATTGTCATAGAAAAGAGTGACTCGTCTTTTAGTTTTCACTAGCTGAATGTTCGTTATGAATGAACGTCTGAACGTCTTTTATATATTGAAATATTGACTGTAACCCTTACTCTAATTTCAGTTTTGCCTATACAGTAGCCATCGTCCAAAATAAATCTTATTTAATATTGTACAATCTTTGTTTATTATTATTATTATCAAACGTTATCTATCGTTGCATTAGTTTAATAATGAAGTAAGCTTTCTATAGATGTCTCGTGTTAGAAAGTCGTATCTCTGCGCAACCCCCCCCCCCCCAAATGGTTTTTAAGATTAGTTATAAGCGCGCATCATAAAGCCCGTTTTCCACTCACGTATTTCGCCGCCGCTGGCGAAAAATTTTGATAAAGAAATCATTTTTTTGGCATTCATTCGCCGCTGAAGAAATTTGTTCTCCTGCTACAGTTGCTTAAAATTTTCAACTTCTGTTTGACCTTTCGTTGACGGCGCGAAAGAACAACAAATTAACTTTTTCGGTGGCGAAATTTTTCGCCAGCGGCGGCGAAATACGTGAGTGGAAAACGGGCTTAAGGTTTTATTGGCATGCAACATGTACGCACTGCGTACCTATTTTTTGATAATTTAGAAAGAAATCGTCGCTGAAAATCCATTTTTGCAGTTAACTCCCTATTAACTTATAACTCTATATAAAATCCTCCATTTTTACTTGCTGGAAAGATGGCGGCCGAGATGCGCGAGGCGACATGCGCGGCGCCATTTACATCAAAGGTTCCGACTTGAGTGGCACTTCTATTCATTTCTTATTCTATGCTAATATAATAAATAACACATTTTTATAGTATTTTTGGCTATTTTTGTCAGCGGACTAATGTTTATCTAGTGTTGCACTTCATGTAACCACAGACTTTACACTCCCCCTCCAAAGACTCTCGTAGGGAGACTTTTACTTAAAGTCCTTAAACTGTCCTAGAAATGTACTTAGATTTCATGCAATTGATTGTTCTCGAAGTAAACTTACAACTTGTTCTTCTAACATACATAACTTTCGAATGTCACGTTGATATGTTCCTGCGGCTGTTCGTACTGAAACTCTTCGAACTACACCATCTTCGTCGGGATAAACTTCTTGTATCAAACCTTTTGGCCATTTACCGCGTGTTGTGTCTTTACCAGTGACAAGAACAAGATCTCCAACTCGGAAATTGGGTCTGCTTTTCAACCACTTCTGACTTTCTTGGAGTTGGGACAAATACTCTTTAATCCAACGGTTATAGAATTGATTAGCAAGATGATGAATTTGTTTCCATCTTGCTTGATATCGATCGAGATTTCTCTCATCCTCTGGAGATACGCAAGGATTTCTTCGCATTAGTAAGATATCATTTGGAGTTAGTGCCTTCAAATCTTCTGCTTCACGTGGAACAGGCGTAATCGGACGATCATTCATGATCTTCTCTACTTCAGTTATAAATGTTGTCAGGGTTTCCCCGTTCACTAACTGCTCTCCGATCATTGCATGTAATATTCGTCGTATAGAGCGAATTAGACGTTCCCATACGCCACCATAATGGCTAGCGGCTGGTGGATTGAACTTCCACTCAATTTCCTTCTCTTGTAGATTGTATCTTATTTGCTCTTGATTCCAAATTTTCATCGCCTTTAAAATATCTAATTCAGCTCCTCGGAAGTTCGTTCCATTGTCGCTGTAAATGACCGACGGTGGTCCCCTTCTTGCTACAAAACGTAATACTGCGTTGATAAAACTCTCCGTAGACAGATCATTTGCAATTTCAATATGGACAGCTCTGTATCGAAGGCAGGTAAAAATACATCCATAACGCTTGTTCAAACTTGAAGTTGCTTTCGCTGATCTGGTTGATTTCCCACGTGTGACATGAAATGGGCCGAAGTAATCGACACCGACGGCAGAGAAGGGAAAGGCAACCCGATCGCTATCCTCCGATACTCTTACAGGTGGAAGAGGAGCCATAATCTGTTCGCCATATCTTGCACTCTGTCGCTTGCATTCGTGACAATTGCGTAGGACTCTTCTGACTGATGCAACGCCCTTCAAGATCCAAAACTTTTGCCTAGTCTCAGCGAGAGTTTGATGAGTTCCAACGTGCCCATATAGGATATGATAATGGAGTATAATCTTTTGGGTAACGTGGTGTTCACCAGGCATGATCATCGGATGTTTAGCGTCGAATACCAAATCTGAGTGTTTTAATCTTCCTCCAACTCGTAAAATGCGATCCTGGACGAACGGTTTCAACTTCGAGAGCCTATTTCCTTTCTTAGATCCCGAAGAGGACTCGATATCAAAGATTTCCTCTGAGAAAGCATGTCTTTGGACATGTTTCACGATCATCTCCTTCGCTCCTGTCTGAGCCGAGAGTGTTACGTGATTCGGATATTCCGTTTCAGTTGATCCAGACTCGCGTTTTCTCCCGAGCGATCTAAATTTGTTACAAATTGTAAGTAACCAAGCAACTATTCGAAACATTCTTCTCCAGGTAGAATATCGTTTTAATAAGGATACCCAGAATTCATCTTGAACTGCTGTCGTATTCACCGCAATTTCTTCTTCTCTCACTCCGAAATCAGATCCGGTAAGTTCCATTGAGATTTCTTCGGGTTGAGCTGGCCATTCGCCCTTGTCTGCCCATAAGAAGGCTGGACCTTGACGCCAGATTTTTAACTTTAGTTCTTCCGTAGATCTGATTCCTCGAGAAGCGTAATCAGCAGGATTTTCTTCAGATTTCACGTAATTCCACTGCGACGGTCTTGATCCCTCTCGGATGATTGCTACTCTATTCGCAACGAACTTCACGAATCATCTTTTCTCGTTTCGAATATATCTTAAAACAAGATATGAATCCGTCCAGAAATACGTCTCGTCTATACGTAGCCTTCCAGACAATTCCTTCTTGATAAGCTCGTTCATGTTAACGGCTAAAGTGGCTGCAGTTAACTCAAGCTTTGGTATGGTGATTCCAGCTCTTAGTGGCTTAACTCTAGATTTGCTCATCACGAAACCACAGTGAACTCGTCCCAGATCATTAACGAAACGTATGTACGAAACCATACCATACCCATGATTCTCGGAAGCGTCAGCGAAATGGTGGATCTCGATCCTAACAATGTTGCCAAATTGAGAAGGTTTGAAGGAACGCGGGATTCCATAATCATCCATCGCAGCTAACGACGCTCTCCACTCCTGCCATCTCAGGGCTAAATCAGCTGGAAGCTCATCGTCCCACGAATATTTCAACTTGCAAAGCTCCTGATTGATTTCTTTGCCAGGTAGTATCAATGGACTGGAAAATCAAGTGGATCGTAGATGGAAGCTACCGAAGAGAGGACTCCCTTTCTATTTTGAGGATACTGTTTTGTACTAAGAATCATTTTGAACTTGTCTTCCTCAATATCCCAATGAGATCCCAGTGCTTTCTCCATTGGTAATCTATCGAAGTCCATATCTAAATCTTTCACAGACGGGGAACGTTGATCTTCCGGAAAGGCTGAAACTACCTCTCGACTGTTCGAAATCCACTTGGTCAATTGGAAGCCACCTCTATGCAGAAGATTCTGTAACTGTTTAGAACACGTAATAGCACGAAGAACATCCGGGAATGACTTCAGCAGATCATCTACATAAAAATCTCGCCAAACAGCATCGACCACTTCCCATGGGAAATCGCGCTTGTTGTCCTCTGCTGTCCTCCTCATTGCATATCCAGCGACACTCGGCGAGGATTTAGCTCCGAATATATGCACGAGCATTTGGTATGTTCTCGGCTGAACGTTGATATTCCCGTCGGGCCACCATAAATAACACAATGCGCCTCGGTCTTCGGGAGCAACATATACTTGATGGAACATTCGTTTAATATCTGCAGCTACAGCTATTTCATCAACTCTGAAGCGTAAAATGACTCCGAAGAGTGAGCTTGTATTATCAGGACCTTGTAGGAGCTCGTGGTTCAATGATTTACCATTACATTCAGAGGAACAATCGAAGACGATCCTTGGCTCGTTTGGCTTTCTCGGGTGGTAGACTGCATGGTGCGGTAGGAACCATATAGGGCTTAACTTACGAAGGTCATCATCAGCTACAATCTTCGACGCTCCTTCTTCTTCATAGCGTTTCATAACGGTTGTGTATTGCTCGCGGAGTTGTTCGTCCTTGGCTAATCGTTTCTTCAGAAGGTTCAACCTCTTCACAGCAACTTCATAATTATCAGGAAGCTCGGGAACGTCATGGCGAAATGGAAGGCGCAACTGATAGTGTCCGTCTAACAAACGTGCAGATTCCTCCATTATGCATGTAGCTTTGCGATCTTCGATTGAAGATGCTGGGGTAGTGTCCACCGAAGTGCCGCCAAAATCTATGTTGTACATACACTGTAATTGCTCATCAATACCAACATGTTCGCTTTGAATGAAATTAACGAAGGTGTCATCGCTTATATCTCTTTCGTTCTCTGATATCGGGCCGCACACAGTCCATCCTAATGGAGTTTTCACAGCGTAGGGTTCACCCCTTCTACCTTTTCGTTTCTCGATGTCATTCTCAATCACATCTGGACGGTCCATACCAATCAGGATCTTAACTCTCTTGTCTTCGATCTGTGGCAAATGAATTCCATTAAGATGTGGCCATTTGTTTACTTGCTCTTCAGTCGCGAAATGCTTTGTTGTTACCGACAGCCGATCTGTAGTCAGAACATTATCAAGCTTGAAATCTGTCTCACGTCCAATGAACTTATCTGTAAACAAACTCGATGTCCCTGTTTTACTCTCCTATCGTTCATCGTGACCATCGTATAATCCACTGCAGTACTATCTAAGCCGAGCTCGTCTGCTAAAGTATTCAGACAAAGGGCAGTATCAGAGTCACTGTCTAGAAACGCGTAAGTGGTCACTTCCTTCTCAACGTTTGGACTTCGGATCTTGACAGGAACAACTTTAAAACAAATTCTAGGTTGGTTGACTCCGATGGTCGCGACCGTAGCATGATTGTTGGCAGCGTCCACTTGGGAATTCAGGGCATTCTTTGCTGGAAAATTAGGATCAACATTCTCTATCTCAGCTTTGTCATTTCGAGGATCATCGGCATCATCCTTATGTTTCCTTTCTTCCGGATGGATTAACCAATGGTGTTCTTTTCCACAACCTTTCTTTAAACAGACGAATTTCCTTTTGCAAGATGCAGCAAAATGACCTTTCTCGAGACATCTTCTACAAAGCCGCTGCTGATTAACGACTTTTAGCTTCTCAGTTAATGTTGCAGCTTTAAATATGGGACATCGCCAAACTCCATGAGAACCCGAACATGAAGGGCACTCATATACATTTCTTCCTCTTTGTGATTGATTTTTAGTCTGCATGGCATAGGTATTAACTCTTCTAGGTTCTAGCTTGTCGGAAGTCTTTCTTTCCCTCGATAACTTTAATTCTAACGCAAATCGGTTGTTCAAACGTTCAGCAGTCTTCTGAACAAATTCTGAAAAGTCTGTAAAATGGACTTGACCTTTACGCTTGATAAGATCCCCCGCTGTATCGGCCCATCGCCTTTTAATATTATCTTCAGGTAATTTTCTCATCAAACTGACAATTAAATCTTCGTTGTCTAGTCGATTCACAAAACAGGCACCAAGATTACTCAATGTCCTTTGAGCATCCACTAGACGCCTCGAGAATTCCATCAGAGCGGATGCATCGGCTCTCTTTAATTGCATTTGTGTCAATCTCCTGATATGAGCTTCTGCGACCATATAAGGTTGACCAAAGTTCTGCTTCAAGGTCTTCCAAGCTACCTCGTACCTTGTGCCAACAGGAAGGTTCACACAATTTCTGATGGATTCTTTGGCTTTTCCCGAACATTGGGCCAGCAATCTCGTTAATCTTTGGGAATCATCTCGTACTTGGCTTTCAATATTGTCCTTGAAATTCGTGACAAATTCTGAAAATTCTAATGGATCACCAGCAAACACCATTAAGTCGATCTTCGGCAATGTTGGTCCTTGTCTGATAGCATCCGCGATCATCTGTACTGTCTCCCCTTGCTGTGGATATTCTGTACTATTCGGGCGGAACACTGGTGCTTCGACATTCCATTGCGGGAGTGAGGTCATTAACGGGTCTCCCACCGAAATGCATGGATCTTCTTGACACGCACCAATTGTGGTATTCGGATGCAGGTTCCTAGATGTAACATTTGGGGGATTCGACATGCCAATTGGGATATTCTGTGGGTAATAGCCAACAGAAACACTTCGTTCCGTTCTTGGATAAAATGGAAAGGAATTCTGTCCTGGATTGTACAATCTATCAATCGGAACATATGTCGAGGAATGTTTGTCACCAACTACGACGGGTGGAATGGGATTTCCTCTTGGAACATCTGGAGCACCAAATGAGACATGTGGAAAACGATTCCTCATCGCCAAACTAGGATGGCTAACTGGAACATGCGGTAAAGGATATCTTACTGGAACGTCAGGAAGGCTAGCTGGAACATGCAGGAAAGGATATCTTGTTGGAACATCGGGACGGCTAACTGGAACGTGTGGGAAGGAATCTCTTGCTGGAACATCGGGACGGCTAGCTGGAACATGCAGGAAAGGATATCTTGTTGGAACATCAGGACGGCTAGCTGGAACATGCAGGAAAGGATATCTTGTTGAAACATCAGGACGGCTAACTGGAACATGCGGGAAGGAATCTCTTGCTGGAGCATCAGGACGGCTAACTGGAACGTGTGGGAAGGAATCTCTTGCTGGAACATCAGGGCGGCTAACTGGAATGTGTGGGAAAGGATCTCTTGGGTCAGGACTAGGAAACTTATTCCTTGGTGGAATGCTCGAGGAGGGATCTCCAACAGGGATTTTAGACTCGCTTTCTGCGCTCGGTCGACATGGACTGTGAACTGTTGGGGTTAGGTAATCTCTAAGTGGTAACATATCAGAACTTATCTCGCTGATCGGCTTCTCTTTTACACTCCCAGCTGCGTCAGAGATATCACCAAAATCTTCCTCAAACCTCAGAAGTGTCACTGCTCTTTCAAGTTCTGTTTCTGCTTTCAACATCTCTAATCTTCTTTGAAGTTCTGCTTTCTCAGATCTTTTCCCTTCTTCCATTTCTCCTAAACGTTTTTTGTAATCGGTCTCTGTCCTTTCGAGTTGTCTCTCAATCACCTGTCTTTGGTGAAGTTCTTTCATTTTCAAATTTGCTTCTTCCACTTGAATTCTTCCACTGATTGTAGTCATCTTAGTTGAAGCTCTGCTACTCTTTTTACTCTTCCCGGAATGTGAGTGAAGGCTCGCCGCAGCTTCCAATGAAGCTAGTTCTCCTCTTTCTTTATTCAATCTTTTTATTGTCAATTCCAACCCATACTTCAGGTCTCTTTGATTTTCATAACTTTCAATCTGGAGACTCTTTATTGTTTCATCATCTTCAAATGCCAAATACTGTTCATGGATATCTACAAATTTACAGAAGGCTCGGTCGTAGCTTTCCACTTCTCTATTAAGCACTTCAATGTTCGTGTCCTCATTCAACAACTCCTTTACAGCGGAAAATTTTTTCCTGACATCACCCAGATGACCAGGTCTTTGTCGTCTTAGTTGCAACGCTCTTTCTCTTCTAATATTCTGCTCATCTAGCCTGACATCCAAACGTGTATTTAGCATTTTCTTTGAATGATGTTAGGGCTACAGTATTTGCTTCCCATTTAGACAAATAAAAAGGCTGAGGCAATTCTTTTATGCGATATATTCTTAATACGTACGATTCACTATACAAAGTATACAAATACAAGTAAATTATTAGCAATAAAACTAGACAAATACAGAACAAAACAAAAGTACGCTTACAAGAAAATATGCCTCAATAACCAAATCAATCTTGATCTTCAACAAATAAACTTGATTCATGACTACTAACTTAAAACAACTAACTAAACTAATATAATAAATAACACATTTTTATAATATTTTTGGCTATTTTGGTCAGCGGACTAATGTTTATCTAGTGTTGCACTTCATGTAACCACAGACTTTACAACTCCACTGGTATCTATAACGCTCCATAGCTATCTATTGCACTGCACAGGTATCTATAACGCTCCATAGCTATCTATAACGCTCCAGATGTATCTATGGCGCGCCATAGGTGTCTACAACACTCCACAGGCATGTATAACAATCCATAGGTATCTATAACACCCCATAAGTATCTTTAACATTCTATAAGTATCTATAACACTACATAGCTATCTGTAACACTCATTGGTATCTATAGCGCTCCATAGCTATCTATAACGCTCCACTGGAATCTGTAACGCTGCATAGCTATCTATAACGCTCCAGAGGTATCTATAACGCTCCATAGCTGTCTATTAGACTCCATAAGTGAATATAACGCTTCATAGCTATCTATAGCACTCCATTGGCATATATAACAATCCATAGGTATCTATAACACTCCATAAGTATCTGTAACACTCCATAGCTATCTGTAACATTCCATAGGTATCTATAGCGCTCCATAGGTATCTACAACACTCCATAGGCATGTATAACGCTCCATAGCTATCTATAACACTCCAGAGGTATCTATAACGCTCCATAGCTATCTATTGGACTCCATAGGTATCTATAACGCTCCATAGTTATCTACAACACTCCATAGGCATGTATAAGAATCCATAGGTAACTATAACACTCCATAGGTATCTATAACGCTCCATAGCTATCTATAACACTCCAGACGTATCTATAACGCTACACAGCACAGCTTGACCCGTATCACAGCACAATCGGCAACGCTTATTGACAATATTTTTGCCAACCATTTGACACAAAATTTATTCAGTGGAATTATTATAAATGATCTGTCAGATTATTTACCGGTTTTTGTTTATGTCTTTGCAGAAACTCCTCGCCCATGTAAAAGTGCTGAAAAGATCATTCTTAGGGACTTTGGCGATGGAAATATTACTAATGTCAATTGTGAAAATCTCCCTAGTCAAGATGCAGACAGTGCGTTCGATGCTTTTCAGTATGAATTTTCTAGATTTACATGATCTTAGCTTTCCTTCTAAATCAGTCAGAAAAAAACTCGAACAAACCATTAACACCTTGGATGACAAGAGGGCTATTAACCTGTCTTAGGAAAAAGAATAAACTCTATAAAAAAATCATTATTTCACGAAGTCCTGAAAAAGGAAGACAATACAAAAAATACAAAATCAAGCTTACTCATTTGATTAAGATTGCTAAGAAAACATATTATGGGGATAAATTTAAAACTGCAAAAAACGATCACAATGCAACTTGGAAGCGAATAAACGAAGTAATTAATAAACGTAGAACAAAAAGCTCACTGCCTTCCTCGTTTATATCAAATAATACTCTTCTCTCTGATCCTAAAGACATTGTTAACAGGTTTTGGGTGCGACAGATACCGATGGTGTTTTATGGATAGCAGTGGAGTGTTATAGAGAGCTATGGAGCGTTATGGATCCCAGTGGAGTGTTATTGATACCTCTGGAGTGTTATAGATAGCTATGGAGCGTTATAGATATCAGTGGAGTGTTATAGATACCTATGGAGTGTTATAGTTACCTATGTAATGTAATGTAATGTAATGTAATGTAATGTAATGATTTATTTAGAGTCGTATACACAGGATGCGGTTACCCATGCAATCATCCGAGCCGGAGGCTCATGTAAAAAGTGCACGATATACTATAATACTTTAGTATAAATTTTGCATATCAAATGAGCTTTCGCGCGTTCTGATTGGCTAGTTGACTAGTAAATCTGCATGAGGCATTATTTACCACCTGGGTAGTAAATAATGCTTTTCAAAAAGAATGATTCGGCAAATTTGGTTTCAAAATCGACAAAATATTGAAAAAATCGTCCCAGAAAAAGAAAAAAAGCACAAAATGTTGTATTTAACTTGAAAGGTAGGATTTAGTATTATATTACTGTGTCAAACATATTCACGGACAATTTAAAACTTATTTAAAACTCCGAAACATTCGCTTCAAACGTAAATTTTAATTCTAAGTCTGGTAAAAAAGTCATTCCATCATTGTGTTTATATTCTAAGCAGAAATCGAGAAAAATAACTTTGTAATAAAGCAATAAAGTCGCACAGGAAGCCATTTTGAAAGCGTGCGTGTACAAGAAACACTGCAACACTAAACCGTAAACCGGTCGAAAACAGTTTTATTTCTGAATTTTAATTAAACTTATAGTTGGATAACATGGATATTTTGTTTTATTCATTAAAAATTTATACTAAAACAATTATTCGCCTCAGGCTCAGTGATTACGGTGAATATTCATCTCGACTTCGTCTCGGTGAATATTCACCGGTAATCACTTCGCCTTCGGCGAATAATTGTTAAATAAATACATATGTACATTATAAATATTAAGTTATTAAAAGGTAAACGAGACTAATAAGGTACAAATCTAAGAAATTATATACAAGATTGGCACTGACATCCTATAAATTCCCAGTGTTTTAGATGTAACTTAAATTCTGCCAATGTCGATGGAGATTTTGCAGGGAGCAGTAAATTGTTCCATACATGCCCTGCAATATAGCTATAGGTATTATGCAAGTAACGGCTATTGTTTCTATCCTGTTCAACATTAAAACCATTATGTCTCAGGTTATTTGTAGATTTACGTCTTTTAAAAAAGTCAGATATATATACAGGACCTTCATTTCTAAAACTTTTGAAGAATAAAATTAAAGATTGTTCAAGTCTCCTACGTTGGAGTGATCGCATTGATGCTAGTTCTAAAAGTTCGTCATAGGTGATATTGTTACCTAAGTTCATTACAGTTCTTAGACCGTAGCAACTGGCTTTCTCAAGTTTCTTGCACAATGTTTTGTTCACTCCAATAAGTAGTTGAGAACAGTAGTTGATATCGGGTTACATAGCAGCAGGCCGGGTACTGCTGATCTCCGAATATTTCGATTTTTCCAACTTTAAAATTAAGGTGAATTTATATATATTTGAAATTAAATTATTTCTAAACACTCCGTTGTTCTGTGGATATATTCTTTGTGCTGGAAACTCATCGTTTGATACATTTATCGTGGATTGTTTTATCGACCTCGTTTGAGTCGTAAGATTACAGACAGCGTGAACTCTTGATTAGTTTGATTTTACGTTTGATATCACTGCTGTGCTGATCACGGAAACATAAAGAAATCTTTTATTTTATTGGTGCAACGCTCATTTCAAGTTCAACCAGCGTTTTCGTGTTGTAACCTGAATTATTCATCGTTCTAGATATTTTGACGGTTGGCTTTCACGGTTTTTGTTATT